CCTCACTGCACTGCTGTAAATACAAGATCAATTCTTTGGTGTCGAGGGAAGATGCCATTGCTCTTCTCCTCACAGCTTGCTCCTGCCACTTCTATTGCTTTTCAAGAATTAGAATCGTGTCCTCTAGTTAATTTTTGAGGGGTTGCATAAATATTGAAACAAATTATAATGGAATCATTTACCAGTATTTATACACAAACACGACCGGTTGCTATAGCATCAGACAACTGCCCACAACCCAGCTGCAAGGAAGGTGTTGCGTTTCCCCTGACATGAATGTCTCACAGAGCGAGAGTCCCTACCAGAGGATTTGGAAGAAGGAAGCCATAATCTTCAGAAAGATGAAACCTTCTTAAAGTGAAAAGCCGGGGTTTGTCCTCATTTCCATTCTCAATCTCCATCATTCGACAGCTGAACTCCGTGCCAGTCTGGGAGAGTAAAACCTACTTGCATAAGAGAAGATTCAGGTGCTTATCTAGGTGCTGGCCTTGCCATGGGAAGCATCAAATGAGCACACTCGTAATATGCTGAGTAAGTGAAGCATTTTCCCAGGAATCCAGCAGTACCAGACCTTTGTCCTGGGCGAAGAGTCCTCACTGTCCAATGGCCAGAGGGTCTGAGTAAACACGATTAAAGGTTGCTGATAAGGCGCCATCGCTAATCAACATTCCCCTTATGCAAAAGTCCTAAGGAAAGGTTCTCATTCTCTGTTACGAGGAGTGTGTTTCCTGCACACGCCGCAGAATTTCATAAAGAGCTATAGGCTGACTTGGGGCATTTATTAGAACGCTCTCCCCTCCCCTGTTAAAATCACGGGGTTTAGAGTGATCTATCCGTATGATTCTAATTCAAACTATGAATTGATAGTGGGCTTGTCTGATCAGTTCATTCATTCTTTGTCCTTTTGGAAGAGGGATGCATCTTACGCGGTCTATCACCCTCATCAGTTCCTGTGCTGTAGCAAAAGAGGAGGGTGCAGCTGATGCCAGCCATGATGCGCAAGTCGGACCCTGGTTAGCTCTGCCTGTTGTGGATGCATCGATACGCCTGTCAATACAGGGAGAGGCATACGCTTTGTGTCCAACAGCCAGCGCTCTAGGGGCGTGTGAACCAAAAATGTGGGGGGGGTGACCTCTGCCGGCGGGGCGTTAGCATGGGGACGATGCAGGTCGCTGGTGTGTAAAGACCTAGCATGGGAAAGCGCACAGTGACTAGCTGGTTTTCATAGGGCAATGCGGGGCGTTGGCTCACTGCATCCAGAGAGTGGTCTTGATAAAAGAGCGCACCCTGGGTTTGAACCGCTGAGCCACGGGCAGGGAGGCCACGTTGCAGTGTGATCTGCCCAGGGCTGGCGAGGTAAGCAGAGCAGCTGGGTCAGTTTCAGGGGGAGCCATCCTGCAGGGCTCTGGGCTCCCTTTGGAAGTGATCAGATGCTTCCGGGGGTAGCCGAGTTAGTCTGTCCAGGAAAAAACAACCAATGGTCTGAGCGAAGCGTCTCACTGTCCAATGGCCACAGTCTCGTTCGTTATCAGATGCGAACTAGTTACACGACCCCTGCGCACGAGCCCAGCTACGCTGTGTTAGGCTGTAAAGTGCTACCAGGCCGTTTGGTGTCTTGGAAGTGACGTTGGAGATCAGCTAGTCGGGTACGTGCCGGCTCTGAGTCAGCTCAATTGGAGCAGGCAGGCTCCTGCGCTGAGGGGTCTTGCTCAATCCCAAGATGTGGTCCCGAAAGCAAACGGCACATCCCCAGCCCTGCCCCTGTGCTCCAGCCTTGAGAGATGGGAGCCCTCGCCCCGCCTTTGCTAGAGTCCAGGTAGGGCCGTGTCTCTGTGTGTGCATGTGCTCAAGGGCCTGCCTGGAAAAGGAGTGCAATAGATGTGTAAGCGTCTCTGTCCTCTCTGATAGCTTAGGCCCTATTAGTCCCCCTGCCCCGCCCCAGAGAAGCAGCCCGTGGCCAGTGCCAAGTGCCTGGCGGCCGTTGTTCATAGTCCCTTGGGTAAGAGACTGTCTCCACTCTGCTGTTGTACCCCACAACCTGACCCCCGGCTCCACAGTCTGCTCCGTTCCTGTGTCTCCTGGGGGGGGCCGTTGTGAGTTCCTCCCCTCCTCCCACACAGCTGCTGCATGGGGCTGTGCTCCCTGCCTACACATGCCCCATCCAGAGGAACAGGCAGCAGCCCTGCCGGCTCCCCCCGCCCCCCCCCCC